CCCCCCCCCCCCCACCCAAATGCAGGTTGGCGATTTAGGAGTGGGCACGAGCCCGCGCACATGACACAACGCGGTCGAGACCGCTGATAAACGGTCGGGTCCCCGTTGCCTCGGCTGGCCCTCTCATTCGCCTCGGGATATCACTGTTTGTGGCAGGCCGCAATACAACTGGCTGTCAAATGTAGTTTCAGGTCATCGGAGTCTCAACAGTTGGTGACCCCAATACAATCTTTAGACACAATCAGCCCTTAACTTGTTCATGTCTTACACATCCGCCTGTTAACAAACACCTTCCGGTGGATGTTACAGTCCATATTCGACTCAGTCAGTGCTTTTATGGTCTACTTTCTCACCTAAAATTTCGCGAAATTTTGCTGACGGACCGGTGACTGACGTGAAAACATCTTGACTGCCCGCGTAACCTAATATGCTCTGAGTAAAAAACATATATCATTTTGACATCGGGAAGTTTCGAGTATTTTTAACTTAACAATAAACCGCATTAAGTGTGCTAAATATCCCGATGATTGGTGGAGGCTTCGACTCTCCGTGGGTGTGAATTTTAAACAGTATTTAATATAGATGTCGCAGTAACGTCAGACTGCTCTTTCAAGGCAGTAAAAATGAACCGTAGATGCGTCAGTGTGCATGTTAGGCTTTAGTGAAGTCGGTGTTAACCACGAATAAAGTAATAGACAACGTTTTGAGGGGCAGTTGAAGAGAGACCAAGCAGCGAGTGGTGGGCTTTTGAGTAATAGCCAAATACTCAATTATTCCACCAAAACGAATTCGACAGACCACCGGGAGGTTGGGCGGTTTTCACCGAAGTATGAATCAGCCGATGCCCCGGAGGTAGGGCCACTAAAAATGTAATGACAAGTTGCATAAGTTGAACGTGCTTGTGCCCAAGCAGAGGCTTCACCTTCGCAGATCTTTTACTTAACAGCCAATTAATGGAACATGAAACCAAAACCCACAAATTCATATTTTGCGTTCTCCAGTAAGTGGTTAGTAGGTAACGTCATTAAAGACAAAGTATAACCTCATCGAATCCTACCTTTCCTGAAGCGATTTTATTTGTTTCTTTCACTAAAGCGACTGAGTGTGTGTCCACGTGGTTTTCTCTAGACGTCCAAGCGGCGTAAGGGTAAAACAACATAAGAACATGAAAATTCTCTTACTCAGAATGAGTCATACTTAAATGCAAAAGCAAAACACCTCGACGAAATTCACTTGCTGCACTCAGCAAAGAACCAGCTTCGTCCATTTTATAATCACACTTGCATAGAAAACCAGAACGCATGGCAACCTTTATATCGTTCTAACGGGCGAATTCCACCTGGCCGCATAAACATTAGCAAAGAAACAGCTATGACTTGGTGTTAGTAAACATTGTGAACGTTTAAAACGAGATTGCTGGGTTCTTTTGCAGTTGCCAGTTGCAATTGAACACGCCATTGGTGATGGTTGTCAAAATTCCCAGGCGCTTGAATACATGACAAATTTGATGACAAATAAACTGGTGATTAGACCGTGAGTCAGGCTTTTAGCTAGGCAACCCTTGCGACATGTTATTGGGAATATCGACATTCGCCAAACCATGTTCTTTCGAGCAAGTGAAAAGCCGCATTTTGTGTCGGTGGACACCAGCTTTCACAGTCGTATGCTATCGGTTCATCGCCCTCTAATTGGGTTGCTTATCTTTGTTACTGTAAAGGCCACCAAAGACCTGTACAGGTGGGTGCCCTGGATGTGTTACTCTGCCTTCTAGCAAAAAAATGGCAAAATTTCGCCTCAAGGTTATTTCTGTTTCTGCATTATGAAGATGGAGCTTTTAATCGTAAGAGACTGTGCTATTTCTCAGGTCGCGTGTAGATCTTTGATCAGCAGTCAACTGTAAAGGATGTCCAGGAGTTCGAAGGTAAAAATATGGAGCTGTTTTGTTGTATTTTAATACGCATCGTAGACATGTAAGTGTCTACAACTAGTTATTACGGCAATAGCAAAGCCAGCAAATTTAGCTTCCCTAAGTGAAGTAAAGACAAATATTAGGATTAGATGTTCACCCTACTAAGTTCCATCGTTAACTTTCACCCGTGGAGACTCTAGTTTTTAATCTCGTGAAATTCATTGGATAAAGATACCTCATGACCCGAACGCTTCAAACGACTTATGAAGATGACCTAACACTCATTACCCTTCATTTATATTGCACAACAACTATTAGTCTCGGATAGATAAAATGACGTTTGCTCGATGGTGGAACAGTGAAATCAGCAATGGGAAATAGTTAAGTGAAATTTACTGTGGATGATTCCACAAACCTTAAAAATTGATTTCCTTGAGAAGGCAGCAATGCTTTACGATTTCACTTACCTCTTGGTGCATTGTCATAATCCTCTTTGCGGTAAAACTGAGATTCCTTTGGTGGTGGCGTTTCTTGACGCGACGCGTCCAGATTGGCCACCGGACCAGAATATGGTTCCCGAGAGACAGGCTTAATGGAAGCCGTGAGAACAGAATTCAATGTCTTGGTTCTACCGAAGACGAAGTCTCCAAATCCCTCACTTTGGATAAACCGTCCCTTAATTTTCAATGATTCCACCAATCGCCCTTCTTTTACAACCACCTGGCCCCTAAGAATTACAACCTCAGGTCGACAGTTGGCAAAGTGGAGTCCCTCGAAGGGGTCCTCAACACCGTCTGGAACCAGCTCCGGTTGACTGAGTTTCGATGCAGGATTCCAGATGACAATATCAGCGTCACTTCCTTCGGCAATACGGCCTTTACGCGGGTAAATGTTGTAAAGCCGCGCTGGGTTCGTACTTACAGCTGCAACAAAAGCGCACGGGTCCAGCAGGGCCTCTTTCTCAACGCCGCATTTCCAAAGTACACTAAGACGACTTCCAGCAGTTGCCTGTCCCACGGGAATCCGACGAAAGTCTTTTAGACCCACTCCAGCGCGAACACCAGTGGCGATTGCTCGATGTGCTGAGCCAACAGCCAAAAGCTTACCGGTGGCTACATGGTTCAGTAGCTTACGCGCAACTGTCAACTCGGATCTAATTGGTGGATCAGCAACACAGCTGGCAGCTTTCGCCCAATCAGAGTGCAAAACTGTGTTTCCAGAAAAAGGACAACCAATAGCCGCGATACTAGTCTCACCAAAGACCACTCCACCGTTGCTGCACTGTTCGTCAAGGGCTTTCAGTGAGGCCAAGCTGTGGACTCGAGTAAACAGAACGGGACAACCACTTTCAGCTGCCAAAAGGGCAACTCGAGACACTGTATCCGCCTCAAAACGTTCGGATGAGACCAAAAAGGAACTCTCTGGGCCAACGAAACCAGACGAGAAAACATTTTTGGCAATTCTATCCAAAATGGCCGGGTCGCCACAGGCTGGCACAGTAGGTAGAACCCCAAGTGATGAGCAAAGCTTCATCGCGTCAATGATGGAGTCTTCATCTAGACCGGTAATTGAGGCAAATGAAGTTCCACTACGAAATCGGAATGAGAAGGAGACAACTTTCTTGGCCGTAGCCAACGAAATCATTTCATTGGCAACGTCAGGCGAGAAAAGGGGAACGGAAAGCGCAAGGGCGAAGTCACAACAACACTCAGCATCCAGAGCAGTGCGCTGGCGATTGTAGGCCTCAACTATACTGCTTCCAGGGCAGACGGGAACCTCGTTAACTAAAGGCAACAAGGGTAGATGATAACCTAATAGTCACCGCTAGGAAGCAATGCATCAAGAATCCTATAGGGACTTCTGCCTACTTAACAAATTCGATTCCGTCAACCGGTAAACGGACCTACACCCCGCCTAACAAGGTCTTCAATACCTCATGCTATAAGGTGGTAGGCTATTCGCATAGGATGCCGGGCACCCACACACTGGCCTCCATGTCCTCCACTAAAGTGGGCCTGACTGTTGAACACCACTTTGCCATGAATACCCCCTGGCTTTTTTAGCAGCTGGGAAATAATGGGGCCTCAGGGGAGAAATATTTAGTGCCACAAACTTGGGTGTTACATCACGACCATGATCCCTCTCATAACCGAAAACTTTTGGTTGACTTGACAGGTTTGGCTTATGTCCGGTGACTTGTACGCGGCAACGACTCCTACATCGACTGTCTACTTCCCTTAGAACAATCGAATCCGAACCTATATTTTTAAAGTGATTTTCTAAGCCTTGTCTGCTTACGGAAAACTGCCTTGATTTAGGTATTCAAAATAACCCATGATATTCATTAGGTATGCCCGAAATCCTTTTAGAAAAATTAGTTCCGAAAATTCTGATGATCGAAACCTACGTAAGTTCTTCAGCACAAAACTGCAAAACCCCTTTAAATCAACTACCAAATTGAAGAGTAACGCCAGGATATCTGCAACACTGCCATTTTAAGTAGGGAGAAACCTATATTCATCTCCGTTTCTCCAGATACCTGGTCTATCTATAATTTGTCAGACAGGTTCAGATGACATCTCGCGGACTTCCGCCTGAGTTGTGTGTGCGTCGATGAGGGCATGCCGACAAAGCAAAATAACTTTAGAAGTAAATTACGACAAATTCACTAAATTGTTGACTATTTCTGGGGTCATGTAGACTTGCAGCTTGAACTCCATACCACTTTTTGTGGAATATTGAAGGGCGTGTGACTGTAGATGATAGATAGATGTCTATGAATACAAGAAATGGACCATCTTATTCGTGTAAAATTTGACTAGCGGTCTTCTGTTGACTACGGGAAGTTATGTTCACTTGTTGAAGAAGAAACCCACTTTACGAGTGTTATCGGCGTGATTATTACTGCCAATATTTCAAAGGCCTGTGTGCAAATTAAAACGTCTGTGAGTTCGCGACCTCACTTCGCGCGGAACTGGTTTCCAGCCAAGGCAAAGACAACTGTTGGGAAGTGTACATACATAAATAAAGTAAGATATACATTTAAAACCATACCTATCGTTGTGGTGCCCCCACAGAGGGATGCCAATGAGCCTCGTCTAAAATTATCCGCAACAGGGATATCATCAGAAGGGTTCAGGAGACGGCAGTCCGGATCAACACCCCCAGGGAAGATGTAGCAGCCATGGGCATCAATCACTTGAACACCCTCGAATAGTGAAATGTTTTGCTCAATTTGTCTAAAATAATGCAAGAAAATGAGAAAATTTACTTAATTTCTTCCCCCTCGATCAAAACATCGGCCCGCTGTATTCCATCATGGTTTACAATAACTCCGTTTTTAATCAAAATTGACGTCTGTTGAAGAGAAATTATAAGAGGGAACAACCTACACGCACCGCCGCCATCTCACTCGAAAGTAAGCGCCTTGCTACAGCCCACATCCCGATGGCCAGTCGTGCGCCTCGGATGTGTGTGTGTGTGTAGCCAATCAGACAGCAGCATGAGCCACCGTCAGACATCGTGAAAATTTGCGGCATGGAGAATAAGGGCGCAAACGTGTGCACCGCGTTCCAGCAGCGCAAGACTGTCGCTCTCTGCCAGTGTCTTAGCCCCCGATTAAGCCCTCATGCGACCCGAAGCCCTCTTTTTTACGCACCAACAGAATCTCATCGATCTTTATAAATGGCTCTGTTGAATCTCAACGACGGCTTAATGAAACCTGTCTCGAAAACCTAATGAGTTCACTAAATTAATGCCGTTGACCTACTGTTGAAACATAGACCACCAGCCGTAAAACTAAAATCTGAAACCAGATTAAGTAACTACAAACTAGGTCTAAGCTTGCTGCAAACCAACGAAACATCACGTATTTGGCCAAATTTACCGGTATGAAAGCCGGTAGTCGCATCAGATTAATAGTTAACATTTAAAAGCAACTTGGTGGCTGTAGCCTCTTTAAGTAAGGACTTGAGCTTCAATTCCTAAGGTGTTGATACCAAACCTGTGTAAATGGCCGTAAAAGGTCTTGAATATTGATACTAACCAAAACTGTAGCTGGCGCAGATCTTATTACGACACGAAAAACTAAGCATCTCTCGTTAAGGTCTCATCACTAATGCCTGTAGTGTCTTATCAATTCGTCTAGCTACTTCTCATCACAATAAAATTAATCTGTGCGATGGACTCCTGCTAGAACATAATTGGAATTCGTAAACTGAATAGTTGAATCTCATTACACACTTTTATCTAGTTCAGGCCAACTTGTCAGTATGCGATACCCCAAATTTAACTGTTGTGTTATGAAAAATTAAATATCTTGTTGCAGATATTTATGCTCAAAATAGGAATATTATAGTATGCCAGAAAACATTCCGATCAGACGAAATCAGATAACCTCTGCTAGACCGCCCAAAAAGCCATGGTCTTAGGGTGCTTCAGGTTTCAGGAGGGAACAAACAGAGCAATGGCACCCATAAATTGCCGATTCTTGGACAAAAAATATTAAGCACAAAACAACCTATATGGTGAATACGTAATATTAAATGTTAAGTATCTTACTCTTTTTAATGATGGCCTCCACTTGTGTCAATTTCCCAGGTGCGCAATATTAATCTATTGATAGTTCCGATGTTAGCTATTTTAATGGTAAACGGTGGGATTTTTATGTAGGACTTGGAGTTTGCAAGGTTTTTGTGGTCGCTGACTGTTCTAAAGCTAGGAGTGCTGTTCGTGGTCGGTGGGATATTGTCAATCAGATACCTACCCACTAAACTTTGAGATGATAATAATGATGACACGCGTAAGTTTTCGAGATTTTGGCATGAACAAGTGGAAAATCTAGCGGAGAAGCAGTTTCCGCAAACAAGTACATGCACAGACTACACATACACCAATGAATGCATGTCGCCTCCGTCATGCATTGAATAAGGGTTCGGCGAATCGTGTACAACATGATATATGGGTAGGAAGGGCGTGTTCAACGTGATCAATGACTAACTTAAATTTAAGCGATTCTGGCTTCTTAACACTACTTTACGTACGGTTGACTACTGTAAAGGAATAATTACTTAAACTTTACTTTAACTAACCAGTATTGACAATAGTGTTTAGCCCCAACCTTACGACCAAATCCAATTGTTTCGCAGATGTTCAGTCTACCGCTGTTTCAATCTTTCCTAAGCCTTTACCTGGTTTCAACGTTATCATGGGTGCTGATCCAGGACGTAAACAATTTTGCATTTGGCAAGCCCCGCTATTTTTGTCATGGCTTTCAAAAAATTGAAAATTAGTGCTTGAAAATAATGAAGCGCCTCACACTGAGGAGACGAGACCCAGAGCAACTAAACCGAGTGACGCTAGGGATAAATAACTTACCTATAACGGTAGTTGACATGCTTCAGATCTGCGTCGTCAGTCGGTGCCGTATCAAATAAGCCTGCATTGGGTGCTGTTGAGCAACCGTTTATGTGCAAATCAGCATCGGGGCGAATTGTGCGAGCTGTGCTAATAACAGGGTAACACGGAATCCTGCATTTGGCGGTGCCTAATAGCTCATAAATTAATCATAACATAGTTTATGCAATAGCACGCAACTGATACTTGCAGTTAGCATAGGTACAAATGTAAGACTCCGACTGTCGCGAGCTCTGTTCGTAGCCACTGCTGCTTGACTCTTGGATTATTTTTCTTGCATGACCTCAGAAGTAAAAGTTGTTTGTTTAGTGTCACATGATCAGAAAAGACTACCCTGTGGCTACTATGCCATTTGCATTTCAGTGGTTGCTAGATCCCCATTTGTAATAACCGAATTCACCTCAAGTCAAACAAGTTTTGGTCAAATTTTGCTCCTTTCTTGCACACAGTTTACTTGGTTAGGGCGTGTTTGTGATTACTTCCACGATTCTACAAAAAGGTCTTCTAAAAAGTGTACAATTTCAAATCGTAAATATAACTTCATAAGCTGGAATAAAAGCCATGTTTAAATAGTCTAAACGGATTTGCTGTAGACTATTAAGCACGGATCTTGTGGAAGGAATTGACGTAAAGGCAGACCGAAGTGTTGAAAGTGATGCGTCAATTAAACATGCCACAGTGTAAACCGAAAGCTTAAATACTCCTATTTCGGGTTCACGTACGATTATCTTTAGTAACAAGTCCTTTTCCTATGCAGCAGCATAACCTAATCAAGCGATTCCATTTTTGTTCTCTGGGATCTGTATGTGATCAAACACCAAAACAAGGTAGTGAATGCGCTTGTTTTTGCAGAGTAATACCTGCGGTGAGACTTGAAGCGCAGGTTAACCGCCTCACCAAAGTTGCCCCAAGATGGTCGACTGACAATTTTTAGGGGCTCCGATATGGGTCTCGAACCATGTAGGAGACGAAAATCAAAATGGACACGATACTACCAGGAAGGATAACAGAGGTTCAACGGTTTATTGCGTAAGAGGGTGGTTGTTTCGTGCGACGATGTTTTGTACGGTAAATCATCTTGACGGTTTAAACAATGGCTTTTTCCAAGGGCCACCATCACTACCTGGTTCGATGTGAAGAAAAGCCCTCGGACTCCTAATTGGTCAACGTCAAGTAGCAGCTAATACCGATTAACGTTAAGCAGCATGCAGGATCCAGCCGAATGAACGATCACATTTCAGATTTTATACTTTACAATAAGTTTTACAAGGTATTAAATTTGAGAGCAGAACGCAAATATTAAGGAGGCGGAAATAGTCTGAAAGTTCTTGCATATGCCCCTGATAGCCTATCATTTACTAAGAAACAAACATGCTAATGTGTTCTTGGTGAGATTATAAACGATAATTGTCGTAAGAGCATTGTAAGCATAACAACAATTGAGACGTTGATCGCTGGCGTAACTCATTACACGAGTTTAAAACAAAATCTCGAAGAAATCGCCCAAGAGGAAGGGGACGTTTCTTCTTCACAGCAAAATTCAACTGGGCTCTGTACACGAACACTTCAGACACTTAGCGACTTTCAGCATTAGACATTAGCTCTCTACAAATACTAATGCAAAGGCGCTCCAATTAAGGTGAATGATGCGGGTCCTGATGGACTTCTGAATCGTGCTCCAGATCATTAGACCGCTCCCTCGGGAAACTTTACTGCTCTGCTAGTAGAAATTGATAACCGCCACCTTTGCAATGCTACAAATCACAACCACACTTGCTAGAATGTACAAACCCTTTGAGTGACTTTAGAAGCACGAAAAGAACTTTGCATCTCTCATGATGCAATTTTCAAGAACGAAGAAATGGTTGTGCACGACAAAATTCGCCCCGAGTCCTAGTAAAGTAAGCCCTCTCTGAATGCCAACTCCATGTTGAAAGGGGGAAGTTAGTGTACCAAAAAAAAACGCTGGTCTCACACAACATTAAACAGTAAATATTTTCGCTGACCAACCCCTCAGCTCTTCAGTGTCACCGAATCCAGAGTAACGCAAGTCATGCCTGTTCTATTTGGCAAAAAGTTATGATTTATTTTAGGAGCTAAGCGCGTCGACAGAGCAAAACTCGCCAGTCAGGAGGCATTTTTGTTACCTGATATGAATTTTATAATTACGTCGGAGCTAGGACCGCAACCGAAAGGCCCCCCACCCGAGATTAACTCTCGGTGATTGTACGGTAGATCTCCACATGTTGTCCACCACTCCAATAGTGCTAAATGGTTAGGACTTTCAGGGTTGACACACTTCAAAGTCGCAGAACAGCTTCTAGTAAAAAAACACAAGGCCCAACCCGAAAAGGTTGACTTCGGTCTCAGTCCGTTTAAATTTGGATCTCCAAGCAACCAGCAACATTCACAATAACAGACCTTTGGGTGTCATACAAATGACTTGATTTTGAAAATTACCACAGTTCGCAGCTTTGTGGCAAGCCGCGGGATTTCGACCGAGCCGAGCGTATGGCGCAGCAACACTCACCAACAACGCTTTCAGAAATATTGATGGTGAACAACCGTTAATCACTATTTGGAAGTGTCGACTGCCTCCTAAGATAAAGCAGACATATATCCCACTTAGCTAAAACAATGCACGTGTGCACAAGGATAATACAAGCTGACGGTCCCATGCCCACCTTATTATTCCAGTCTCAAATGGTCAAAAATAAACCTTTGTAAAAAAGTCGTGCATTTAATTCTCCGTTGCTAAAGAAACAAAGATGGCATCGTAATTGTCGAAACAAAAGTTGGTGGAGAAATAATTTTCACCCAAGTACATGGCGTTGTCGGTGTGGAAAAGACAAAAAATAAGGACGCAAGAATTCGCAAAAGCTGGGAAACAGAGTTGTACCTCAGCACAGATGAGAGGTGGTGTATAAATGTGGTAAAATCAACAACGATACGATTCGAGAGCTGGTGGGGAATTAGTGGGAGCACTGGTTAGCTGAGTCAATGTGGTTTTCCCTTAGCACTCACCAGAGGGAACTAGATTTCCCACCTGGCGGCTGCATTGTGCGCGTCGAAACACGTGTCGACACTGAGTCATCATATTGAGAACCTGCAACGAAAACAGCATATTTGTTGTTTATATTGCCCTTGGTAACAAAATGCGTCAAAGATGGGCGAACAGGAAAACCCCTGAGGAAGTCAACTAGAACCGAAACAAATAAAATCAAACGCATTATTACTCAGGTACTACTTCTAGGAAATGACTTACCGAATTAAAAAATGACCTTGATTCACCAAGTAGTAAGTTGTGAAGTCAACTAGCGAAGAATAATTAGAGTCCATAAGCTTAAAGCTGGTGGAAGCAACCATATGTGAATAGATCGTTTAAATATGGCATCGTGTAGGCCCTACATTCAATACCTAGTAGATGCCACTACTGGATCAAGTATATGTGATTGCTCTTTTACCTGTGGTTTAAAAAGGACTCCAACAATGCCAACTGCAATACACACAGAGGCACAGTCTTGGTTTTAAGTGGTTCCGACAATGCTGCCTACAATGCGGGGGTTTTGGGTCAAAATAAGCCAAATAAAGTCCTATAAAAGACGCAACAGCTACGACAGTAGCCCGTTTTTGTACACAAGTGAATAATTACAACGAAATCCATTAAAACGAGGAAGCCCGGCATTTTTCAACTCGTTGGAAAAAAAATAACGAAAAAATAACGAAAAATAACGAATAACGTCAATTACACCAGACTGTTTTCGAAACCAGTAATTAAACGCAAGTTCGAACCTACACTTAAGACCATGTCAAAGCGAGTAATAAGGACTACAATGGACAGTAAATAATTGAACAATAATGGGCCGAAGTTTGTTTTCTCCACCAGCATAAAATTGAGTGAGAAAAATTATTTCTGATTGTTCGATGTCGCTTAGGTTTACGCGAAATTTAAACAGCAATCCCCATATAATGAGGCATGATTTAATGGGTGTGGACATTGAAGACAGCGCAAATCTACAACAATTTAATGTGACCGACAGCGAACCTGAATGACGGGATAAATTACAACAGCATTATGACATGCCTGAAATCATTTGTATAACTCGAGACTACTGTCAGGACATAAATACAGACGGACATGTTGAATTACCACTTGTTTTCAAGCATAAATATCGGCAGCAACAAGGGGGTGAAGAAATTGCAATCAACGTGTTGTGACATAATTGACGATGACGTTTAGAGTTGATAATTTCGGGACCATAAAACTGGGGTAGTGCGGGTGTTTGTACCAAGGTAGTAAATAAATGTTTTAGGAAAATTCAAAAAACTGCATGCATATCTAAAGGTAAACTTACCATTTAAAGAAAAACTGGAATCTTGCATATTGCGGCTGCCCGACTTGGTAGGCGGTCTCGAGTGAAAGTGGCCTGTTGGTTCGCCTGTTTGCTCTGATTTACCAAGATCTATCGATTTTAACGCTGTGTCTAGGTTAACCACCGGTCCTGTATATGGATCGCGTTTAACTTGTTCATATTGCCTGAGCTAATAAACAAACCACACCCAGTTTTCAAGATAACGTAATTAAAAAGAAGGAAATACCAACGTAACTACTCACCTTATCTCGAGCTTTCACCTTAGAGTAAATATAGGGCGAAAACGTTGGCGTCGGAACAAAACGTCCCGACCCCTGACTAACTTTTAAGGCACCATCCTCATCAACCACAACATGGCCGTTCGTTATTACTACCTGGGGTATACCATGACATTCCATGCCCTCGAATATGTTAAAATCGACGTTTTGGTGATGAGTAGAGGCTGAGATAATTCTTGTTGCTTCGGCGTCCCAGACTACAATGTCGGCATCAGAGCCAACATCAATACGACCTTTACGGGGGTAAATGTTGAATATTTTGGCGGCGTTTGTGCTGGTTATGGCAACGAACTTGCAGGGATCAATGATGCCTGAAACCTAAGAAAGGAAGCATCTGTAAACTACCTTTGAATGAGTGCGTTCAACAGGCTGTGCAAGTGCAAGTACATACCACACCCTTCTCCCAAACAACAGACATTCGGTCCTCAACGCCGTTCACCCCATTGGGTATCTTGCGAAAGTCATCCTTGCCAAGAGCCTTTTGATCTGCTTTGAAAACGCAGTGGTCAGTTCCAGTACACTCCAAATGGCCGTTGGCAAGAGCTTTCATGAGCAATGTCTGAGTCCCTTTTTCACGTAAGGGTGGGCTCATCACGTATCCAGCAGCATGACGCCAGCATTTATTTAAATAATGACTTCCGTCAGTAGCCAGACCTGCAGCAATCGCTTCACCAACAACCAAAATTCCATCTTGTCTTGCGTCGGAAATCTTCTGCGCAGCAGCAGAACTCATAACATGAACAACGTAAAGAGGACAATTAGCCGCATCAGCTAAAGTAATTGCTCGTCCAGTGGCCTCCACTTCACACTACAACAACATACTCAGTTTCAAATTATAACAAGTAAGAACAGGCTATAATTCTGCAGTTACCTGTTCGGGACGTGAAAATGCATGGCCTTCTGGTCCCAGGATGCCTTTCTTGACCAGTTCTTCCTGCTTACGAGCAATCAATTTGCCGTTCTCTGCATGGACCTGAGCAATCGCTCCAAGTTCACGACAGTGTACGAAAAAATCATAGAGCTGATCATCTTCGAGCATAAACACGTCGGGGTACGCAAGGAAGCACTTGAAAGAATTGACACCCTTTTCGTTGGTTAAAACCTTCATTTCCTCGACCACTTTTTCGTCAAAATGCGGCACAATTACGTGGAGCGCATAATCGCAGCAAACCTTTGAGTCCGCAGTTTGTCTGTATTGCTCGTACGATTGTAAAATAGATGAACCACGCTTGGGACAGACGAAGTCAACTAGAAGCAGTGTATGTTTACTCGTGCATACATACTTATCATTGTTGTACCGCCTGCTAATGCAGCTCTGGTGCCAGAATAAAAGTCATCAGCCGAGAATGAGCCCATGAAGGGCATTTCCATGTGGGTATGAGTGTCAATGCCACCTACAACATGGCTAGTTCATCGAATACAAAAATACCAGGCATAACCAGCTTTCCTTTCGCATCAATTGTCCTCACGCCCCCAGGAATCGTTAGATTTAATCCAACTTGTCTAATATGGATAGTATTTCCTGAAAAAGGCAAACCTGATAATGCCATCTTCAATATAAACGTCAGCAGGAAACATTCTATCATCGTTCACCACAGTACCGCCTTTTAGAAGGAGGCGGTTTTGCGCATTCTATGAAGGTTAAATTACCAACATTAACTAGGAATACCTGCAGGTGGTGAGAAAGCTTTCCAGCCCCGACGCTAACTTTTGAACTATTCATGCTTCGAACGACGCAAGACAACCCCAAAAGCAGTCGTCAACAACCGACCAATAAACCCTCAACCCTAATACCTCCCTTCAAATTAGCGTATTTAAATGAAGGATTATTTGTGGGAATAAATTAACATTTCATAGTCTACGTTTTACTCCACTTACCTAATACTTAACAAGAAGAATTTTTAAACCTAGACCTAAGTGTTGTAGTTCGCGTTTTGTGCATTTTAAGCATACAAGAATCAGAGTTTTGGTGATCAAAATTCATGAATTGCAGACTTCTGCTAAGACTTGGATCCAAACCCTAGCTCTGATCAATTATTCTTTTGTTTGGCTTAGAAAACGTATGAGGTCCTAAATTTTTTAAAGCTGTGTGAAGCAATAGCTATTCGAAATTGTCCACTTTTTTGAGATAAGTCAATGCCTGCAGGCTGCACATTTCACTTCTCTGAAAAGACGTTGTCTCCGTTTGGAGTCTAGCCGAAGTAATAACGCCCTCTCACAAATAAAGGGCAGGTTTTTAATGAAAGTCGACAAGCTAGGTAGCATCAAGCTCGAGTAATTCCGATGTAGCATTCACGTCTGTATTAAAGAATGCGATCCATGTTGAGCAAACCCATCATGTATTAAGCAAAAAAAATTCGATTTTGTTGCCAATAGTACGTTTATCTGCCATTAGAGTGGATTTACTTTAACATTCACATCTTAAATGACAGCCAGTTACTTATTATTTTGGATGACTTACCTTCACAGTGTCTAAAATAACTTTTATTTTTTAATTAAAAATATCAAATAGAGCTTATGTAATCAAGCTGTGGTAACGCTACAGGCAAAGTGCTTGTGATCGATCTTACAGCTTGAGATATGGCATTTGTAGCAAACTTAAAGTGGAACTTGTACTTTTTGAAAGAGATTTTAATCTTCAAGCTTACTTTTAAATATGTTTTCATGGAAAACTAATTATATTGCAAGGCTCAAGCTACATTTTTAAGTAACCTCGATTTTGATCATTCGGGTCTTCACTTACCTATAGATGAGAATGTGTTGTCCACGTAAATTTCAACTTCCTTATTCTGTATTGGTTACAATCAATTTGTTTATAATTCGATGGCTCTATAATGCGCATCTATAATCACGACATTCATTAGGCTAATTTTAAAAGGCTTCCATGATTTAGGAATATGTCAACGGGGACTGACATTAAAGCTTGAATCTTTCTTGTTGAAGAATTCCAAGACACGAAATGACATGTTAAAAACTCCACATAAGTTCGTGCTACTTTGGACTATTTCTAAAAACATTAACAGAAACTTATTAACTGACAGCTCCTGGAAGTGGCACGTGGATAAATTTGAGATTGCAATCGTTTTTAGTCCTTAACATGAAAGACATTCTTCTGTGAGTCGCAATATTTTGGAAGGAACGTCAGCGTTGACAAGCAGGAAGCCATAAATCTACCTATCAAATTATTTATTGGCTGAAAATGATCATTTCTCAAAGGAGGGAGTGTGATTTGAAAAAGCTGCTTCAATATATGTCCAGGTGAAACGTTAGGCATTACGAATATCGTTAATGCTAAGTGAGCTTAAATGTACCACACTATCATGTTTAGTTACACTTATTGCGTTTAGGAATCCGCTATTGAAAAGTGGTTTTTATATTGTCCAGTCATCTTGGAGTGCAATACTCTTGTTTGAAAGGGTTTCGCTTTTTTCGAGTTAATACTAATCCGGGAAAATAAGCAGCTCACAGATAAATTAACACAACATGAGCTATGTGATCTATAAAGACAGACTTGATGACCATGTGAGTAGTTTTAATAAACGGTAAGCTATATCTCAATTGGTTTGTATTTTGCGCTCAATTTCTTTTGCAAATGTCGAAGATCAGGTCGTTGGAGTATGTTCGTGGCATTAAGGAGATTAACTCTGTTTTCGACGTAATAGATAGAAAAGGCCAAGGTTTGTTGTTGGACACTCACCTACCGTCTATTAGGCACATTTGCTTCTGTGTTCACAGTTAGAGACAAATCTTTCCCTGACTCAGGAATATTCGCAATGAAAATGATTGTACCCACAGTTGAACTTCGAAGAGTCGAAAATGAGCTACGGGCACTGCGCCAGCTAAAGTATTTGTCACTTTTGGCATTACTTTACACTTAGTGGAAAACATGGCATCATAAAAATGTTGTCGGCTATGCGTGTTCGCGATCACATATTCATTCTTATGCCGTTCATAGATTATGTCGCGTTTTCGGTGTCTTCGTTTTTATTGTCTAACACGTTTTAGAGCTATTACCTGTCGCTGAACGAAAAAGAGATCCGGAGATATCTTCTTCACCTCCTTCGAGCTCTCGAGCACGTACATAGATACGGAATCATCCACAGAGACATAAAACCCACAAATTTCCTTCTTGACCGTCGTTCCCAGAGGTATCGCGTTTGTTTCTTTCACCTCATTTTAAGGTATACCCTTGTCGACTTTGGCCTTGCTCACTCGCAATTTGACGGTGACTTGGACCGAAATTGGAATCCGCTTTTAGCTTCGCAAAATGTCTATAATCTTAAGCGCAGAAGACCTAGCTGGCAGGATGTAACGATCGAATATATGTTTTCAATTATACCCAATACTAGGACGTCTCTGGTCATTTTCTAGAACGCGGGAGCCCACTGCTTTTTACTCCAACCCCATCCTTAGATAAACCATCTACAGTTAAATCGAGGGTTTGTCCACGTTTAAGCACATCATGTTTGTCAAGCAACACGGGAGGACCAAGCCATGTCTCGTCGCCATCCATTTTGAATCCCGTCGAAGAACAATGTGGTTGTGGTAATCGATTGGCCATATGCCGAGGATGTCGGGGTTTCCCCAAAGCCCCCGCTGTGCGTCGCGGCGGTACATTAGGCTTCCGTCCCCCTGAGGTTATGTTGCGTTGTGTTACACAGACAACTGCAGTTGACCTGTGGGCTGTTGGAGTTATTTTCCTGTCATTCCTTACCGGCAGATACCCGTTTATTAAAGTCGAAGATGACCTCGAGGTCCTCCATTCATTTTCACATCTCTTGGGTTACGAGAGGATGCAGCAAGGAGCTCATAGCGTTGGTAAAAGGATACTCATTGACCCCAGGCCTCCACCATTGGGTGACAAGGAAACTCCACTGGCGTACATGAAAAAACGGTATGATTCTCCCTACCTTCAATCCGTCCGTGTTGCTCACTCACAACTTTTTGGTTAGGTTGATCGCCATGCGTAAGGCAGAGCGAAAGTTGATTTCTCTCCCTCCCTCGATGCGCACGAATACCTCCACTGACAGCCCCACAGTGATCGCCCTGTCTAATACACATCACTTCCCCAGTGCCGCTTACGACCTCTGTGCCCGTCTCCTTGAGCCAGTGCCTAGTCGAAGAATAACAGCGGAAGAAGCCGTCAGGCATCCATACATCCGCGGCACTAGTGCAAAGCCAAATATAACCTCATCGACATAGAATTTCACGCGCATTTCTTGTACCTTATTCAAAATGCAAATGAAATCCTCGGATCAATCGTGTTTTTTTAGAAATCGAGCATAAACGCTGAACATGTCACTGCTATTGCATACAGCATTCTAACCAACCAGTAATATGTTCGGGAACTCGTTCCGCTCATGTTTTCGTCTCAGATGCTCTTGAGTGAAGGCCGTTAGGGCCCCACCGAACACGCTGAATGTTGAAGATAACTTTGTGACTTAGAGCTGAGCTGCGATAATTGGTCCAATCTAGTACGACGTAGTGCCATTTAGGTGATTGTCTTCGTGCTGATGCTAAATTTTACGGAAGGTTGGGATCTTTCGCACCCTCAGACCGGAAAAATCACTTGATAGAGTTTTTAACGTCAATATAGGACCTGACAATGGTGCCTGTATCAGTCTACTATTCATACACAAACAAATTAGCACTGCATCGGTGTTGCATCATTAATGGCTTCGGCAAGAGAGGACTTGAAGTTGTCGAACGCGTCAACCAGGCGAGTATCATCAGCACCGCCAGAGCAAAAGGCGCGAAAATCTTCCAGCATGCCATCTTGAAAGGCTTCGTCACCAGTTATTTGGCTCCGCCACTTTCGTGGTAACAAGTAGTTCCAGGTCCAAAAAAAACCCGCTTCGTATTGAGTGTTGAAACACGAAGTTCTTGGGTCCAGAGAACCCTGGGAGTCCTTTGGAATCGACGCATGCTGCCCGAACTCCCAACCTTGGTTGCTAGTGATGCCACTGTTTTCCGAACACAGCGTCGTCTGAAAAAGCAAGTCAAACACAAGGCGGTAATGGGTGAGGTCAACGTGGATACTACTGCTGATGCCCAATCGCTGCTGAGATATGCAAACGGCAGACGCCCAATAGAGGACTACGACTCCTCTAAACCCTTTCAAGTTTGATGACTGAAAGTAATCAGTCGTAGCTTGTCTTTAGCTAATTCGCTTCGTTTCCTGCCTCAAACAGTTAACTGAGGTCAACTAGCGCAATCTTGCACGTTGAAGTCAACTTCAACGACACCCAAATTACTCTTGAAGACTTTTCGGCGTCGTCAGGCGAAGCTGTTATGGGGGTCCTGTCCAACTGCGTTTATTCGGTTACCGGTGTCCGTTCTGCTTCAAAGTGATTTTCCTACTGCTATGACAAGCGGATTCCTGAAATCAAGCTCTGCTCCTGCACTAATCACAGGTCCCATTTTGAAGGCTATGATAATTATCCATTAACCGCTAGTGAAAATCCGGAACGCAGTCCATTAAAACGTTTGGCCCTGGAATGGGGAGATAGTCCTGCACCGAGTTGCTCAGTACAGACCCATTTCTAACGTTTCCGTTAGGCTTTATCGACTTTTAAACTGAGACATAACTGGTGCCGATACAACCTTTGGATTTTCAATGGAGGACGCTAGGCCGCATTTCACCAGAACTTGGTCCATCATCAGAGGGTCTTTCAAACACTGCACTTACGGCATATGAGCAGGCAGATGGCGGGTAGGTGGTAGAGGCTGCTTGGATTCCCTGGTCAAGGGATTGTGAGAGACACGTGCCACTACTTCGGCGGGAGGAACGGCAAGAGGGCCCTTTGATGGACTGAGGCGGTGGTTGCTGGTCGGTGTAGAGGGGAATCATGACAAACATACCTCCCGAGACATGGGCATACATACGCCGAGTATAGCTCATGCCTCTTGGGTAGTCGTCACCCAGTGGCGTGGGCCGTTTCATAGTGGGCGTGTTATCCTCGCTCGAACCATTTCTCGAATTCACCGCTGGAGAGTATGATAGCGGCATAAAGCCGAACCTTAAAGAGAGTATATTACTTCAATTCAGACAATCACAGGAATGATCGCTTGTATTGTGTAAATCTAACGAAAATGCCTATGTATGTTTGTGACACAAAGTCATAGATCACATATGTGTGTACATTGCGTTTGGAGCTTACCTACTCAAGATAGTTTCTTGGAAGCAGAACAGCGCAGTCATCTGATCTATTTCTGGGAGTTCTACAGGACAAATGAAAAATAAATTAGTTTCTCTCAGTCGCGTGTCAATATGCATGCATTGACAGTTGGGGTTCTGGGATAATGCACAACCAGCAAGACTAGTAAACCTCATATATGAGCTAGCCGATTTGAGAGAGTTGATGGTTGGCGGGCCTACTTCACCAGTAGAACCCTTGTTCAGCAGAACAACACTACGCTCCCGAGTCCGTACTCGAGTGGACTTTGACGATGAGGAACGTCTAGTGTTGTATAGCATTTGATAGGTGGGATCCCAGAAGCAAGCTTGGAGCCTACGTTGACTTAAAATTCAGCTTGACTGCGATGCCTCACTTAAAAAAAAACAACTTTAACGCTTCTGGCTAGAGCAGAATTAGAGTTTTCGCACCTGGGAAGAGTTCAGCGGCAAGGGCGTGGGCCGACAGATCGCCAGAGTATTGCGACTCCATGCCGTCAGCTCTGCTCTGGGCAACAATCAGCTGCAGCGCACGACACTGGATGAAGACGGGCAATCGCAGGGGATCCACGACAAAACGGGTGCTAGAGTAGCCGAAGGGGTAACATGGAGCGGGAACAATGTGGAAACCTGGGCTTGTAGCTCTGTAGTAAATGTAGAGCACTAGCTGTTGTAACAAAGAGAAGATGAGAACCACGTTAGTGAGGGAGGTATATCAGTTCCAGCACCGACAGTCCTAAGAAAATGTACAAAGAAGTCTGCTGCCTATGCGTTCGCTAAGATGGAATAGGGCATTGGTGGCAAATGTAATTGCATTCAACGCAGTCACAGTTTATAGAACAAATGGATATTCAACCAGAGTACACCCAATGAGCCTTCATAGGGATGCATCTTGTCCAATCACCTACACTAAATGGCACGTGGCCTAGTTGCCGAAAAGTTACCTCCTATGACGGTTTTCACGTCTTGAACCTCCTGAGCTCAAGGATAGCCGCTCACGCTAGCCACATTTCGCTTCTACCCTCGTATAATGATATTCACTATATCAATCATTAAATGCAAAACAGAGCACTTTCCAGACAGGTATGTGACATGTCCCACCTCATAGCCTTGCCAAATGTATTCCCATTTACATGACTCTGCGATTAAAGACGAAGATGAAGGAAACATGAGCAAATCCGTTTTGCTCATTTTAAAGCATGTGTCAAGGACAAGCGGACAACCTGATCGTCGCAAGTGTTTTGTTTTCATCACGATTCCCACGACAGCATTTAGACAAAGAATCTCCTCAAAAGTGAAGCAGGGCATCCTGCGAGCTCCAATAATTCACCAAAACCACAGTCATTCTTTTACCTCGGAATAAATCCTTACTTGTTAAACTGTTCTTGAGCCAGCATTAACCATAAAGGATAATACAAAACACCTCTGAATGACCTCCTCATGTTGTACCACACAGGCTACCCATTGTGAGGCTGCTTCTCAGATATATCAGAATTGTTCTCTCCTGCCTCAATCACTTTCGTTGTTGTATTTCTGATAGGGAAACAAAATTTTATTGTGCCCGTTTGAGATGCAAGTGTAACGTGCGCTGGAACATCAATGTAGTTGGGAGATTCGTGACGTCACCAACAGTGCAAGGCAACCGACAAAGCTCTTAGGCCCGAAAAACCCGCCAACGAAGAAAAGTATTCCGTTTCCTCTAAAAAACATTAGTTGTGAACAGATTGTGCGACGGAGCTAAACTGGGTCTTTGGCTTGAATTTGGTGCCCTCTACAAAAGGAGGGGGTTCGTCGAGGACTTCGTCTCAGCTTAACAATGGACATTACGGCCAAGTAGTGTGCCTTAAGAAATGGCATGTTACGATACAACTGGGGCACGGCTTTGGGAGAATTGGGCGTTGGTTAAGCAAATAATGAGGTATACAAAGGAGAAGGCAAGCTATACACACGTGTTCGGTTACACGTGGCACGAAGCTGACGCTTTGAGTGACAACTTGCGCGGACATATTCCACTGCCAAAAACACTGCGCTAGCAAACAATTGCAGCCTACCAGGTCGTTTATGCGATTTGGTGACGCAACAAGCCACTGGATCTCCATGGAGAAGGCACAGGTTGGGTGGTAATTCAAGTCGTAGAGCAAACAGTACCACTCCGGATGCCGCTTCAAGATAGACAAATAAGAAGAATCACGGATATCACGCGTGACCCTCTTTCGCAACACTCCCTCGGAACCAACTGCCCGGAAATGAAAAAAGGCACATTGATGAATGTATGAAAAAGATCACTCACACCATGCCCGGTTGGCCTTACGGCGGCCATTTTTTGGGTTTGATAAGTGATATCAAAGCAAAATAACAAGTGGAGGTGATATGGTAGAAGAAAACGGGTTATACACGTGTGTATTTAGAAAACAACTGCGGTTATCAAGTAGTACTCTAAACAGACCTCTATAAAAGATCTCTCCGAACGCATACGCCTCCCACGTCGACGCTTATAAGCAGTGTTATCACTTTCCTGCATCTGAAAGTCTGCATCCTAGACACAAATCGACTGTTTACCTCCGTTTATCGAATACTCTTCCTGCCCTTTCTATTTCGCATTTGTGGTTTCTTTCGCTAAGCCACAACACAAGCACTTGGTGTCAGTTGCATCATGCCCCTAAAAAGGCTTTCAGAATAACTTATTTGGTATAACGCTGAAAACTTGAGAAGCCGAGAAATACGGCAACCGTTCCGATTAAAATTTGACGTATCACCTTGCTCTGCCATCAGAGTCAATCTAGCTTGGTGTGGACCCTAGACAGTGCTTTTGCATTTTATCGACCTCAGAGACGTCTGCGGGCGCCTCTCGGAAATCACTGTGGCATTTAGTTCCTCCAAAACACCAACGGAATCCTTACAACCCCATGAAATTTCGACCACAACCTAGAACTTTGCCAGAATTTTGACGCATAAACTTACCATTCAACAATAAATGATTACCAAAACGGCAATTTTAAAATAAAATGCACAACCACTTTGCCTTAAGCAACCTACCATCACCTGCCTCCAGTTATTTCTTCCGCTTTAAGACTTACCGTGGATACCAGGGTCATTTTCAGAACCAAAGATTTGCCCGAGACAGGAAGTGCTCAATACGCCATTCAGTGGTGGCAGTTCGTTGCCTGCGTCTTTACTATCGCAAGGAGGAAAAAACGGAGAAAGGAAGCGACACTGGTTTACAGGCGCTTCTCGGATTATTAGGATTTCAGCCCACTCTTTCTGGAAGTCCGTGGAAAAGGCACCAAGTGGGGAGCTACTCGAGGGAGGTAAGTGGGCAGCAGGAAAAGGAATCCTGCGAATACCCGCTAGAGAAGGCAGAGGAGGGTTAGTAAGCGACTCGCGACCACCACCTGCAAAGTAGGAGGAGAGCAAATCAATAAAAGTGAATGCACTGCATGTGGATCAGCAACCTAGCAGCGACAGGGAGTGTATTCAAATTACGCTACTCAATCATAAGCAGTAAGTGTGATTTTTTTAGGTTAGAAAAGGAGTGCACACTTTTCAAACCGGCGCAACCTTCAACCCCAGTTCACTGGCCTGAAGAGCAGTGCCAATTACTGCCAAAAGATGACCGAAGTGCTATCTGTGTACAAACCTCAAACAGTTGACAGATTATACATCAATGTTGTGTTTAAAAACACATTTTAAATCGTTAATAGTTTGGGTAGAGCACGGTCCGAAACTCAGTGATTTGAAAGTGAGTACGCCTTCATTCATCCGAAAGTGAGGAGCAGCACCTGTTCTCAAGCAAATCAAATTCCCTCCTCTCCGAATCCCAAGTCACAGAACATTTGCATTCCACCATTCCCAAGTGGCGGAATGCACAAGCAATGAGCACAAATGGGCACATGCTGATGATGATGATGATTACTACTACGACTACGACTAATATTAACCCAAAAACCACGAAAAAGAACCAACTGAACAAGATTGCATAGATAGGACTATTGGACCATTCCACTTGACTCCCCCCTTCCGCAAACAGGCTTACATAATTACCCCTTCTGCTAGTTGGAGTTGTTAGTGCTCTGCGTCGTTGGGAGTGGGGTTTTAGGGGTTTGGAAGATTAACTAAGTGGACAGTTGAAAATCGTATCAGGCTGTACGTGGTGCTGACCAAAGATGAGATTCCGCTGCCGTGGGTCTTGGCGATTGATTGATTAAGGGCTGTCAGAGCTACAACAATACTGGAATTGTGCAAAATCAGATGACAAGCCGGCCACTAAAAAGGCAGGGCAAATGCGTCGTGCAGCCAGTGGGTGCGGCGACAGCTGCTGCAATGTATTTGTGGCACGAAACACGTGTTGCACTGGACTGTTGCTGTGGGTGTGGATGTGGAGAGGAGAACGTGGATGCCTCAGGCGAGAAGAGAGTCCCTCCCGAGAGTTTGCTACCCGGGAGAAACAACGCGACCGATTTACCAGACACTACCGCTCCCCTTCACGCAAACACGAATATCAACAAACGTGTGATACAAGAATCCGGCGAAAGGTACATCCCTTGTTACCCATTTCTGATTTCGAACTAAAAAAGCGACTGGACTTTTTCGAATACTTGCAGCCTATAACGACTGCGAGTTATGATTCAATTGGGGCGTTTCGTGGAATAGTAAATGAAAAGTGCAATTCCAATAGCAAGGCCCTACTTGAGGTGTCGACTGCTTCGTGTGGGGGCGGGGGGCTCGCCAACTCCGCAAGAACGGTGTAGAAGAAGAAGCCGTGGAGGAATTTGTGCGAGGTGTTTCCAGAGGTGTGGCAAATTAAACGAGCGTCGACAAGGCTCTACAAGATAAGGACATAGAGGGGGACTCCATCTAAAGGAGACTGTAAGACTGAGTCCGACTACAGTTCCAGAATGCGCCAGACTTATTGCGAAACTGTCTGGACCACAGTTTAGAGGGCACTCAAAGGCAGTTCGTTATCACCAAACAAGTGTTTCCATCTCATGTAATGTTTTCACGTTAACCGGCCACTGAAAAAAACCCTAAATTACAAAGTCTACATGATGCATCCAACGAATGGATTTGGAATAAGCGAACGCTACTTTATCGCCAAATATTTTAATTCCCAAGTGCCCTCTACTCAACCGCCCCAATTTTTGAATCATAAAAAAAGTACAATGCTTTCATGAAACGGATCTTTTGTTTTCAGTTCACATGAACTTTTTACAAATGGACCATCTGGCTGAACATTTACAAAATTGCGGGATGCAACAGGGAACAAATGGATCCTGTTTAGGGGAACCTCGTTTCGGGTAAAGTGGTTGACTTCTACGAAGTTGCTAAACCCACAGTGGGTAAGAGAAACCCAATCTTTAACGATTGACGCGCAACCACGTGATCCCTTACAAAAAAAACAAAAGCCTCCACAGCCCAACACACGACGGTCGTGGTTGTCAGTCAAAGATACGAATATCGGATTAGAATTAAGTTTCTGACGAGCAAATTACGTGTCACTGGGATAAAATGACACCGACACTTAGTCAAGAAAGTTGATAAAGTCAGAAAACGTTTATTAGTGACCTACAAGACGCATAACCGGTGCTACAGGCATGAATCAGGAAGGATCGACCAATCAGTATTATGAGGTTCTCAGCACAGACTATTCCACACCAAAAATCCCAGTCGTTAACCCGAGTTTCATTCACCTTGTTGTGTGCAACATCAGAGATCAACCGAAACTCACTCTGACTGAGAAAAACCGTGTCATTTGTGAGTCAACTCGCCTACTGGCATAATCCAAGATCCGTGATGCACAAAAAAGGACTGCGAGTTGAAACTACACATTAAAACACAATGCTACATGTCTTTTCAGAACGAAACCAATGAGCACAGGTTAAACCTATTCTCCGACCGTAAGTGCGGTCTAAAGGCCCATTGTTTAATAATAGCATACCGTCTGCGGACGAACGTGCGTAGTATTTCAGTGACTTAATTTGAGCGCTTAACTTTAAAAGTGCTGAGTCGTTGCTGAACGAGGCCATTTACACATCGTCCAGTGATGAGGACGCGAACCCACAAATTTCAAGCTTACCTGTGCGTATTTTACTGCGGCCTCAAGAGAGGTGACATCGGACAAGCATCTGCAAAGCCACTGAACGAGGTCGTAGGAGCAAAAGGTATACTTCGGTAAGACCGGGTTTCCCGTGATAAACGCCAGGCCATGTCTGTAATGAAAGAAGGCAACCTTATCGAGACTCCCACTTTTATCCCACTTTTCAAAAGGGAAAAATCTCCAGGATAGATTACGGTAACAGCACCTGCGCTCGTCCAACTTAGCCGAAATGTATGGGGACTGCATGCACGATGTATCAGGGTGGTGCAAAAGTAACGTCCGTTCTTTGTAAAATCTTGTCTCTTATAACCGTTTCCGATGTCACATTAGCTGATTTTACGAATTTCAACGAAGGTCAGGTTCATGAATTTTTGTTCTTAATCATAGTTTGCCGTTTAAAAATGAAAAAAAAACGTGAGCGGGTAGTACAAGTATGACACGTCGAAGAGCTGGGGTCTTAACGGTTCACGTGTGACAAAAGCATCGTTTGTGAAAATCGAAACTGCTGAAATGAGTGATAACAGGTTTTCTTTCTTACCCGTGCATCTCATTCAAGGCTTCCTGTATGTTAAATAAACTGCAGAAATCAATTATTACTTTCGCATCAATGTTAACTGCTTAAAGGCCTGGTTAACGGAGAGCACACGTCAGCTTTGAGACTCCGAATACCTGTTTGACCTTTAGATGTCAATCGCTCGGATCTCTTCATAGGGCCCCCCTTGCAGTTTCGCTCACAGCACATTGTGACTTTTGCAGAGAACTCCTCTTCTCAATGGGTGCGGACAGAGATCGCAGAAGAATTGTTAAAAATATAACATACGCAGCTATTTGAAAACGCGTTAAAAGGCTCGATTTTGGGTAGCACATAAATTGAACTCAACCAACTCCTATTCGTGGTTTGCATTTCCAAAGCAGTGAAATCGTCGCTTTTAAAACAATTCAGACATTTATAAAAAAATGGATGAGCTGCAGTAATATCAATCAAAAACTATCATGGTCCAAGCAAGACAAACCAGCACAAATCACACCCTTAGTTTGGTTGTATTTAAAAGACATATTTTGAAGCGCTTTTAAAGGACCAAACTATCAATCTAGATGTCGATTGACAAACAATAATGAAACTGGATTGGGAGCTAATCTAGGAAAAAACGGCACGCATTCGCAAATCATAAAGGAATAGTGTTTCATTAAGACAATGCAAGGCCCCACACATCTTTTAGAACCTGTGGGAATTTTTCGAAATTTGCCGGGAAGTGATATTGTACTATTAAATTACCATTTGTACCGGAGTTTGTAAAACTACTTCGGTTATAAAAAGTTCGCTAAAGATTATCTGAAATCACACCACAAAGCAGAACTTACATTCTTCCCAAGTCTTTACAACTTGGCCTAAGAGTAAGAAGCACTTTTTTCATAAACATTATCACCCTACACTATGACCTAAGTCCGTGTAAACCACTGCTCCAATTAGCTTGTTGGTCAACACACGTCAAGAACACTTTATCCAATTTATTTTGTATTTAATAAAACAGCCACTTAGACAGCCACTTTCAGCCAAAAGCACCAAAATCCACCTATCCAGAAAACATGTTAAATAGTAATTAAGTTTTGTGCAGTCATATCTCGACCAAGCTTACTCTGGATCAAGAAGGCCGGCCAGAATTCGCCAGATTTCCGACTGGGTCGACAGTGGGGAAGCGGAAGGCAAAAGCGACCCCACGGGTGGCAATGGGGTGCTCGCAGCCGAAGGGGACACATCCGACGTCTGGTCCGGCTCTTGGGTCGACGTCGGCAGGTTGCCTGAGCGACGAGAGACCTTTGAATGGCAGGCGTCAGTGGGAATAGTTGGGAGATTCGTCAAGACTGGGTCATGGTGCACTCGCGGAAGGTCTGATGAATCGGGCCAATTGAACTGCAATTCGGGTAGAAGCAAATGAAGAAACACACATCTTATTTAAACTGACAGGTTTATCCATTTTCTTGACCGACCAGAAAGGTTGGTGAGAGGCCAGACTTCAATGACAAAAGGCTCCACAATGATTTAGTGTGAACAGCACTTATACGAGGTAGATGATGACAGATGTGGCCGATTTTTGGTCGTTAGTGTGCATTTTAATAATGCAAAAATATCAAAACCCGGGACCGAATGAGTAAAAAGAGACCACATTGACCAAAGGCACGCGAGCCTCATGCAGTGTTTTACGTGCTGCAGGACTCGAGGAGTCGTTGACCGCAGTCGTGTCTCACAGCAGTTTACATAATTAAAACGTCGAGAGCACTAAGTTGCTCTATAAGCTGAATACCAAACTAAAATTTTGTGCCCCTAGTAAATGCTTGTCAGCAATGGGTGTTGAAAAGTTAGCACTAAAAGCAGAAACTGCTGGCGCAATTTTATCGAAAACAGAATTATCAGCGGTGTCACACGACGGTTTTCCGCCTCCATTGCGAGTAACTGTCATCAGACAGCCAATCGTAACTCGAGCAAATTCCGTGTAACTGCAAGCCTGCAATTTTGGAGACACGATCTCATTCCGGTTATGTCAACCGCAACGCATTCTGTGTGTAAAATGAAGCTCCAAAAAGCATTAGTGTCCAATTAAGGAAAACCTAAACAATCCGTGACTCCAAATATGAACGGAAAATTGACAGAGAATCCGCCTGCTTTTCGCAAATCTGCAGCCTCAATAAGGAGACAAAGACACGTAACACAGAGCATAGAAAATATTATGTGTGCTAAACTGAGGCAATACTGTTTTGCCAACTGAAAAAGAGTTGGGCACGTGGTGTAAGTGAACACTCCTGACCGCTGGGATTCTGTGATGCTACATGGGGTTTTTGAAATTAAGAGTATTAGCTAGCACAAATTGACTCACACATGCGCAAACCCCATGCAAAAAAGAGTGCTGAAAACGCTCAAACCGTTTTCCCAATCTGGGAATGGAATATTGTAAAATCCTTGACAGAATTCTACTACTTGGTAAGCTAATGTGGCCAAGCCTGATTTGACTTAAGCCAAGATTCGAGTGGAAAGATAGGTAAAAGAATCATCTATTACATTAAACGGTTAAATATTAGATGACACCTTCTCAGATCTGGACTCTCGTTTAAAGGATTATTCGCCTTCGAGCAGATAATTTCATATTCGTCGAGGTGAGTATAAGCGAAGAAGTGGAAAACTTCGAGTAAGAAGCCACCCACCCAACTACGCGCATCTGAGAGTTTTTAGCAGTTGACTGCTCTCATGTTTTAATGCTGACGCAATGATAGAATTAGTGTGAATAAGTTCAGTTGAATTTCCGGGGTTCCGAAATAAGGTAAAGTTACTTTTCAAAGGTAAAAAAGCGGTATACACAAAAGGCATGATACCCTCAAAAGACAAGTTTGTGTGTTTTTTGTTGCACACAAATGTGTGCAACAATGCGAGTTAATGAGGTTCGTGTCGCGCATAATTCGATTCAATAGTGCACGTATTTGAACTCATCTCCAGCACAGTTGTGCAAACCGGGAGCGAGGTTGTCAGGATTGAGACTCCGCAGGATATCACAGGATGGGGTCAAGGGTAGGGTAAGGTTTGAAATGTTTAAGTAAGCCAATGATCTCGGAAACCAACATAAAGCCACCAACACAACACTTCTAGAATAATGCAGCATTGAAATTAACTAATGACGGGTCGGTGACGAATATCGTGAAAAACCAGCAGATAGGCATCGAAAGTATATTTCAGAGAGTTCAACAGTGAGTAGAGTCGATTATTTGTTTTTCACTCACAAGCGGAGTTTGCCACAACCCTGTGTACCAGTATGCGTGCAGTGTATTGGCGCATATCTGCATCTGCCTTGCTAACGACAAAACGCGGATTCCAATAGCGAGGGCAAATTTCGTTATGAGTACCGAATCCCTACCAGAACAGCCTTGCTGGCGCTTCTTAAATGAATTCGCTCTCTGCTTAGAAATAAGGACAGCGTCAAGGGTGAACTGGCGTTGACTCCTTCACTAACAAAGTAGGTATGCAAGTGATACATCTACAACCACTTCGGTTCTGGACCAGCACAAAGTACAGCACCTTCTGGGAGACGAGTGTATACATTTAGCTAGGCCCTTTTTCCCTCTCAAATATAGTACGCTGGGTAAGCCAGATGAAAAAGCAGGTGTTGTGTAGCTAAGAAAATAACTGCGTGCGATGGGGCCTTATACACTACAAGTCCGGAGTCACATCTAGGCTTAACTAATCGCGGAAGAGTCGCCCCGATTCCCCTCTACCTGATCAATGAAGCGCCAAGTGCATTTGAGGTAGACAGCCTGCTGCAATACTGACTTACCTGTTTTGTCTTGTTAGTCACATTGACTCGTCTAATCCGATTCAACGACTCAATGAAGGTGATGAATTTTTCGCACAGTTTATCGTAGCTATACACCGCCAGAGGCGTCTCATAGATATCACAGCGAACTTTCTTGCCTGTGTTCTTACACCTAAAGTGAAAAAGAACAATTCGAAACAGCTGCCGAACAAATTTGCATTGTGACGAGGCATATTTCAGTGCAAGGTGTTCTCCTCAATCTTTACAACAATTTAAAAGTACAAAATACGAAACGCTCAGCTACATATGAACAGCAGAATGGCCGAAATGTTTTTTAGCCTTCTGTTGAAAAAAAAAGCATTTACTTTTTACAGACCTTGTAATTAATACTACGATTCATGCAATATCACGACTGTAAAAAAGAGTAAATTCAAATTGTCGGCCAGTGACTTCTTCCTAAAATTTAGGGCGCCGCAAATCACAAGATAGAATTAGACAAATTATGCATAAAGCATAGGTCAAAACTCAAGCAGGAATGACAAATTCCAAGTACTAAGCTTAATTACTAACGATTATGTACTAATTTAAGCCCCAGGTTAAAAGAAACAATAACAACAAAGGTTTGATTGAGTGTGATTTAAATTTTACCACTAGACCAAGGAAATTGAGACTTCAGAAGTTGGAATACATTTTAGATCACATCTGGATCCGGGCTTGTCGGTGGCACCTCAAGAAACAAGAAAGAAACCTCTCGCGATTTCGATGTTGCCCACATGTTATGTGTAATTATTTACAGCTTATGTGTTTTGACTTTAATACAAAAACGGGTCGTTAGGAGCTGTCATCCATTACTCGACAGACGTCGAAGCTGCTATCACACAACTTAGCGATGCCTCACTCGAAGCTCTCACAACTGTCAAGCGTGACTACCTGCTTAGTAAGGCTCTTCACATTTAACCTAATGTAGCCTTTAGCGAAGGGTTTACTTTAACCTCCACAAATAAAAACCATTTGAACTCTAGAAAAGCGCGCCACAAATTGCGAACATGACATAACGCAAATTGTGTTGCATATTTAAAGGGAAAGCACATCAAGAAAGGAATTCAGACAACACCAGAAACCACAATTATTGAACATTTTATTCAAAAAAATTCACTCCTCCTATTTTAACTTTTACCGTTGTTTATATTGTTTCGACAAAATGAGTGAAAACCAGACTAAAAATCAATTATAACTACTCTAGAAAAAAACCTTAAGTTCATTTAAAATCGCAGGCAAGTTCGACAGTTAATCACCTTTATCCTTCGAGCACCGGCACCATTTAGGATAACATTTGATTGCCCGTGTTGCGGCCCACTTCGTAGATAAGAGTCGTACCTACCAGACTTGCTCGTTCAGAACATAGCCAAACATCAGCTAGCCAAGCGATACACCGAATTCGGATGTACAGTTCATGCTTGCACAGATGCACAGACACATTGGAGAACCACTTGCTATGATTGCAGTGTCAGTACCCAGAATGTGTGGCAGACATGTTTTCGTAAAAAGTGCAATGCATTACATAATATCGGCTTTGAACGACATTGACATTTTTCACTCTCAAAGTAAAGGAAAAGGACGCACTTTTACGGAGCCACCTGCCAAAAGTTTAAATTAGTGTGCGAGTGACCACTAGCATCAGGTCGGGTACTCATTGGTCTCACCCTAGTTAGCTGAAGGGAAGGCATCCTTTAGACGACTTGAACACCCAACTTCACAGACCCACGCCAGTCCACAGCGAGGCAAACAAAGCAGAGCAATTTTTTCCAGGACATGTCAGTTAAAAGCCTCGCCACACCGAAACTACGTAGTGACGGGGGGAGAGCGATTATTTAAGGCACCAGATCAGTTATGACGGAATTCTCATTAATGCCAAAAACATGTTGTCTACTTACTGTCGTAGGCTTTCGCAGAGCTGCTGTGTGGTGTCCTTGAAGACAGGCAAGATGAGGAAACGACTGCGCCAGAACTTGAGAGCCTAAAGGGCAAACAAGTACCGGCTGTTGGACTGAGGGGACCGTCGCTGTTGTTTTAGTTGGCATATTCCCTCTGCTTAATCGCGCACAATAAAACACACCAACGTGGTCACGAACGGAGATCACCAACCGTCCCGCAAAAAATATTAGCCTGGCGGAAGTTAAGTGGTGTGTTCGAGTAGGAATGATGCAACGAGCAGTCCTAGGTGTGTAATTTGATAAGGACGTTTCCAATGCAATTTATTATAACAGAAATGAACCAAGGGAATACAAAAAAGCCAAATGTTTGAAAAATTTTAATGCGGTAAACCAGTCTGGAAAAAATTTACTTCCAAACTAGGTTAAGTTGCCAACATTTCGCAATAGCAAAGAAAAATCTGAAATGCAAATAGGATGCGGAAACTAATCTCATCTTCTTCAGCTATTAGAAATTTCATGCAACATATAATCAAAATATAATTGACTAGAAATAAAAAAAGTGATCGCTTTTGCAGAAGTCTAGCCTTTCTCATTTATCTTCATGGCGGCAGGAGCGTAGTGGGATGTGGTTGCACATGAAGCGATTTTAAGATAAATTCATAATGTAAAGGTCAAGGCAAAACTGGAGGGAGGGAAATATTAAGGACCAAATTCCCAGGGTTTACAAATTACGGAAATGTCTAGCCGTACCAGCTGGGGTGGGGCCTGCCCTTCTGCAAAAACAAATTCTGGAGCACGAAAGATGAGTCATGCGCAAAAGTGACTCACTTCGCAAACCGGGTAGACGCGTACGCAGGTCAAACACCGCTACAACTTGACATTCAGAGGCACCTACTCCCCTTAATTCCAGCATTGTTCGAGCCTTAAATTGACATAGCACTTAAAACGGTATTTTTTGACCTAACGTAAAGATAAAAATGAAAAATGTTTCCACAACTAATTCAACGTTCACTAAAACAGTGCTACTAATCGGTCAATACTACTTTTCACAGGTTAAGTAATTTAGTCTAGGTTCAATTTGCGTCGGCATGTGGCCGACAAAACTATGTACCGTTTTAATGCCCATTTCACATGTATGATAAGTGATAAATGTGTTGGTGAAATAGCAAGAACCCCTCAATTCCGTCGAAACATTCACGTAACAGCCTTCTCTCCAGAGGTTCTCTTAACTTCACAAAAACGGATAGGCTATGTTGCTGGACTAAACTATCTAGCCTGCCCCTTGTACCAGTCGAATTTCTGCGGCAATCGCAACCGTCCTGACATCTTGTCTAAAGTAATTCGTAGAGCACTTTGGTTGCTGAAGCATACCTCGCGTCTAGGATATTGTTTTAGTTAGGCAAGACGTGGTGCGGTTTTAGTTGCACAATAAATTTTCGTGAGCATCCGAAAATTAAACCGAACGTCAAGGAACGCATTAGTAGTTAGCAGTTGTTACCGGATGAGTTGGAAGTGCTGTACATTAAAACAACCAGAAAGCGAATGTATACGCAAATGCCTGCCACAGTTGCCACTTCGTGAGGCGCTTGAGAAAGCGGCTGGAGTGGAATTGGAAAACATAAAAACAGATCATTCTTGGGAATTTTGTGAAAGTTTTTTTTTTCATTATTTTATTCGGCCAAGTTGGAGAAATGGCGGGTGATATAAAAGAGGTTTCTCGTAGGAATAAGACAGACTTTAGATTAGGACGCGTGCCAGAGGTCCACGGGAGTCGCTGTGTTTGACGATAATTTGTAATTTTGCATGGCCTGGAAAATTGAACGACAGTTTGGAAATCGAATGACACATGGGAAAGCCTTGGTATTGGCCTTTATACCCGGTATGGAAAGGTAATAATTAAATACTATCAAAAGTGACCAAAAATAGACCAGCTAACGTGACCTCTAAAAAGTATGTTTGTAAAGTAATGCTAAAGATCGTTTGTTTTTTGAACCTTCACGGCATCATGCTTCACTTAAAGATAATATGAGAAGTTAAGTGAACGAAGTGTTATGATGAAACGCGAAATCGAGCACTTCATGCACGATTTAAGTTAACAGCAGACGTTTCACCATACTTGTTTTAATGATAAGATTTGTGCAACAGGCTATTGGCTACTTTTTCGGTGGCCATGGCTCCACCCTTGAGATAGGTAACCGAGTGAATTGCACAATTATCAGCCTAGCTACAATCGGAGTATGCGGTAATTGCAAAAGGCAGCCAAAACTACATAAAAATATGGTTTGGGTTTAGGAGGCAACCAATGAAGATCTGGCCCAATAAGTTGTCCCCTTCATGGCTAGTCAGAACTGATAAGCACCTTAATTACAAAATGTTATTTTCTCAAGAGTTGCATGATCCTAAGAATTTGACTATGGGCTTCAAAGTGATAACTCAGGATCAGCGCGCGCACGTGGACCAGGTGTGTGTGTGCGTGCACGCGCGCACGCGATCACTCTGCTCGCTGGGCCCAACAGCTTTGATCATCCGTCACCAGCCACTGAACCAATCAGAAGGTAGGAGAAAGAAAAGTCACGCGCGCTGGCACACCTAGAATAGGCACCAGCCACAAGGTATCAACACTCCCACGATTGGGAGGTGGTCATTTTAAAAGTGCACGAAACTACCACCACACCCGCATTTGGTTTGAGCTACCGAGGAGCAGGCTACACTAAACAAAGGCACGAACCGGCAGTATTTTAACAAACTAGTTAATTTCGCTGTTACGAGATCAACAACCAATGGTGCCTATGGCATGTCGATGGATCCACTAAGACTAAAACACCTACTTAGAGAAAATAGTGGCATGCTCTTCAACAAAGACACCATTTCTAATAAAACATTGGGCCCAAATTAATGCGCGAATATTTAGCGCTATCTTCAGGTTTCTGGCACAGCGAAACTCGGTCACACTTTTGTAATTAGTTGTTAAGCCTAAACAAATTACTGCAACATGTACAATTTTGCGCATAACGCGCACTTAAATCCATTGCATAGTATTGAAAAGGTGCGCCGAAAATTAAGATAAGTTTAAAATTAACCCGAGAAAACGTCAAGAAGACCCATTAGTGTCATTTACAATAAATGTGCACCTGGGGTTTCCACAGCACAATTCTTACTCAGTAGAAAATTTCTGAGTTGGATATGCCACGACGAGGACTCATGCCAGCACACACACACACACACACACACACACACACGCACGCACACACACACACACGCACACACACACACACGCACACACACACACACACACACAAAATAGCATTAGTGGCTGCAGTTGTGACAGCCACAAAGCTGCGTTAGTTTTTAGCCTCTACTCACACCTGTATCCGCATTACCTCAATTCATCCTAGACACGTTTATGTTAATTAATTAGACGATACGGTGGTTGGAGAGCGCTGGTTGCAGTTTGGAACACGGCACTGAATGCGAACCAATAAAGGATGCATTCCGTCAGTCCACTTTGACACAATAAGCTGTTGAAAGACATGACCTATGGTAAATAGGGTGGGAACTTGGCTTGAATGAAGAAGTTTTGTGCGAATGCCAAAATCAACAGTGGAGTTGGTGAATGGACAGAGAGCATTGAGATTGTTTGCACAGCCAGGCAGGCGACGGCAGCCGACGTATACTTTATCCTAAAATCAACGTTGCATTTAAGAGGAAAAATTATACATCATGCTCCGAAAGATTTGACTAGTATTTGCCTCTACCGAAGAGGGAACAATCAATTTGCTAAATTTCACGAATCACAAGACAGAGCTAAATAACCGGAGGTATTGTTATTAGTGATTATGGGGAAAAACGAGTGATCAGGAATAGTCATATCTGAATCCACATACTCTTCCCCCCCCCCATTTTAAAGGAGTCGTGAACCCCTTCCAAGCGATATGAACGATAACTCAACTCCCTGCTTTGCGGGATAGTTAGATAACCTAAACATTATCAAATCGGTTTAGACTATTCGATCGAAACAGAAATTCATTGGGATAATAATAATAATAATACTGATAACCAATCACTAGAGCAAAATGATTGTTTGAGATCTAGCCTTAAAAAAGTCACAACAATATGCTCATTGATTCGTACAGAATCTACTTGCAAAATTGGTGATCCGATGTTAGCGCCATCGTCGTGACGATGCTCAATTAGTGTTGAGGATCTGCCAAAGCAGAAGACTAAGACCAATAATTGCGGGAAGTTGAAAATTTTGTATCCACGCTTGGACAAAATCGCTTAATAGGGTGACTTGCAAAACGAAGCATGCCTTAAATTAAAAATGAAAGTCATTGGTTGAAGACAACATTTTTAAAAGGTGCCAGCAGTCTTGTTTTACCTACCAACCCACATACCCTGCTTTGGCCATCGGAAAGAGTGCGCGCATCACGAGGACGACGAATACGTGGGTCGATGGTGCATCAGAAACCACTGCGTCCGATAAAAACTACGAGAAAAGGTCGGACAGTCTGGTGCTGCTTTAATCATTACGGCAATGGAGCACTTTCCAGGGGAATTGCGGAACAACCAGATTGACTCTGAGCCCAAAAAAATGTGACGCATGCTCCTCTAGCAGCTGCACGGACACACCAAATCCGAGGCCTCTTCAATTTTGAGCTACACAAACGTGCAAACAACAACTGCAGGTCCTTCTAATTCTTTGTCTACGCGTGTTAGCTGTGATTTATTTCCAAGAAGTCACCGTGTCAAAACGTAGTTAGTGTAGTGCGCTAGAACTTTAAATGCTGCTTAAAAGCGTCAAAGCACCAGCAACCGAAGACGTGCTAGAGAAGAGGTCAAGAGCATTCTTCAGCAACCATTAAGCCAAGTTTTCATCACAATGCTGTACCATGAGGTCTGATGAACAAATAACTAAAGCGAGAACGTGACGTCAGGGGTGGAGCGTGGAAATCAGCACACTTCTCCAAATGTTCGCTTTCACACACACATACAAGTGCAGCACGACAAGAGCAAGGCTCTACAACAAATAAATGATTACACTTTACCACTTTATTTAGAGCGTGGGAGATTTAATTTGGAACGTTTGGATGGTAGAAACGCCTGTCCAAAGCCCTAACAAATTTCATTTGCAATAAGGGACAAAGGCTCAAAGTGAAGCAGCAGAATTGGTAGTCCAAATAACTGGGCAAGGGGAATAACACACCTAGACGTCAAAGATTATTATAACCACTGTGGAGGGAGTAATTTTCATACTCAAGAAAATGGAACATCACCACAAAAGGGGGTTAGTATGCCGGCGTTTTGCATCTTAACCTCCAAGTATGAACACCTAGGTGACCTGATTTTGGGCCATCTGACTCAGCCTAGAAGCGTCGTTATTGACAACAGCAACTGAGTAAAAGGAAAAGAGATTGCTTTGCGTAAAAACAATAAATTCAAAGTTGGCAGCATGTGACGACTACTTGTCTTTGCCTGATTTTTAAATTTGCAACTTTTTTTTTAAAATTACTTGTGGCATTGTATGATAAACGTAAGTATAATCAATGTGGAGTATTTGTTCATACGTTTTTATGGTTTATTACAAATAGGGGTCGTAGAAGTTTCTTGATACGCTCCAGGGTCCTTAAAGTCTTATATTTTTCCTCGCAAACGAATAAATTATGGCATAAACGATCGGGAGCCTGTACACTTTCCTTGGCTGATCCTTTTCTTCGACTACTTGGCTTTTAAGGGTGGTTAACGTAATAACTGTACAATGTCCGGTAATAGTGAGAATTCACCCAGTGTGCATTTGTTTTTTTTAATTATGGCAAAAATCCTGGTTTTATTATGAAACCTTTGTTTACTTTAGACGGATAGTTGATTTCAGAACGCCATTTCTCCATAAGATTAACATGGGCTAGTTACCGACTTGCATTAATCTTTGTAAAAGTTGGCTTGTTCGCGAAGCAAACTTTCTTCGTTATTAAGCTTCCATTACTATAAAATTTTTGCAGATAATTTTGATGGTAAGTACACTTCCATGCATTACATTCATCTGCTCCCAATTCACCTTATAAACTCCTTGTATTCCAAAGTCAGTGGTATCTATGATCTGATTGAACATGATTTTGGAGTAAGTTTAAAGCCTGCTTTCTGCCTCTACCTCCGTGTTTGGGCATGGAACTAAGCTAAATGACATTTATTTTGTAATTCCTATGAATCACGGAACCTTACCCATGTGCTCACTGCGTCCTTTTTTTTGTCGCAGACACGTCACTATCTTTAAAGGAAGTCCAAGATGACGCCGATGATAATGACACAAAAGAGGAAGCGCCCAAGAAGCAGGTTGAGTCCCCACTACCTCCCGAAGTGTTTGTAAGTTATGATTAGTGTTGGTCAAGCAGTCTCAGTTTTTTTTAGTTTGAAGCTACACATAGGCTGGATTTTATGGTCTCTGGAAGGAACCGGTTACTTGATAGTTTACTGTCGTAGGTGAAGTTTGATAGCGGCTCATGTTAACCAAAACAATTCTCACTGAGGCTTAAGTTCACTATATCATACACAAGTTTGTGTGATGCCTTTTATAATTTGCTTGTGTTTAGTCACAGCTGTGTATATTTAGAATTCACAGGAAGTTTTCCAAATTTCTCGACAGCTTCTTCAGAGGGCTCTTCTAAAGACCTCGAGTATGGTTTACCCCAAACAAGCATGACGTTTTGTTTTTCTCCGGACCTAACAAATATTTCCTTGATAAAAATGAACAAGTCAATCCTGAATAAAAGTACGACTCCTAACAAGTAGGTGCTTTTTATATGAAGCCAAGTACAGTTGAAATGCCTTCTTAAATTTAAGGGGAGAGTTTGATTTATGAAAAGCCATTAATGCTTTAGACTTGCTTAAAGCAGTGGAATCCGTTCATACCATCGAGGTTCACTGTTTAAGGGGAAATCACCCAAAGTGTACCCTACTTTCCTAGGCCTTTATTGCGCTTATCAGTGACGTGTGGGGCATGGAACGGCAGATGCGTGAAATGAATCACGACGCTCGTCGTGCGCCCCTAGGGAAGTTGACTCAGTCCCAAATGAAAGCAGGCTGCTACCAGGCGCCAAAGGACGTCTCGGACCGCCTAGAGGAACTGAAGAAACTGACGACGACTGACTTGACGACCACAACAGGAAAGAAAACAGGAAACGTCAAGCGGAAGTCATCAGATGCTTCACTGAAACGCGCTATTCAAAACCGCCTGCTTCGGGCATGCAACAACTTCTACACCCGGATTCCGTACGACTTCGGGTAATCCTTCCGACTTAAATTGATACAAAGTAGTTTTACTGGTGCTCGCTCTAGTTGTCTGCTTATGAAAAAATTACCCTTTTCAATCAGTTTACGAGCATTGTTTTTGTGATTTGAGCTAGTTCCATTTTTTATTTCACGCCCTGGGTGTACGTCTGGATATAGATGAGGCAAAAATCACAGTCACTCAACACGTATGCGTGTGCATTTAACAGCCAAGCTCTGCTGTATTTGGTGTGTTAGCTTTTTTTAATTGACTAAAATAAGAAACACTTTCAAGAGCCCTTTAAAAATCCTGTACTCATATAGCAAAAACAGGTGCAAGCGGAAACGTGTGGGCTGTGTGGTGGCATAATACTTGCAACAATCAGTGATTTATGAAATTCTGTTCTCGTGACTTAATCGACAATGTTCTGAAAAAAGTGATGAAGACAAGTCTACCAATGAGAGCTTACCAGAAATTGACAAGTTCGGTTCTTGGGTTAATATGCCGCCGTTTTGCATCTTACCCTCCAAGTATGAACATTTAGGTGCCCTGATTTTGGCCGATCTGACTCAGCCTAGAAGCGTCGTTATCGTCGAGACACTCCAATTCGAGAAAGCATTGCTTCAAAGGGCATGACTTGTACACGATTCTATGCTTTTTGGAGCCACAACTAGATCGATGAACAACCGTTCACAGTTCGCAAAGTGGCTTTTAAAAACACCAGATTCGACTGACGCAAGAAGGCGGACACGGGAGTGGCGGCCAGTCAGGTGGGGCGCCGCCAGAAAGCAACGCACACACCAGCCACACTGGTAAAACAGTGCACGCAGACTTGGTGAGTGCTGTGTTAATAAGTCAAGTTTATGTGCTGATCTACATCTACGCAGTTTGAGAATGAAGGTCAATAGCTTGCAATCCAATGGGACCTTGGAGTGTACTTGTGATTCTAAAAAGAGGCTCAATACCCCACTTGAAGCAGGCTCAGATGACGGCCTCTAGTAAGAGCGAAACCTCATGAATAAAGCCAGTGGTCCTTAATGCAGGCACATCGTTCCTTTTTCTTCTTCGGGAGTACGCAACATATAGGAACTCGACTGGCTTAGCTAGCGAGTCAACAACCACAATATTTTGTCTGAGTATCGAATTACGCACTTCTCGTTGAGTTGGCAAGATTATTTTAGCATAAATCAACCAACTTAACCATTGTAAGCACGTTATTATAAAATTTCCTCTTTCCTTCCAATCGAGACTTAATAGGGAGTTTACAGAAGGTCAACGTCTACCCACAATCACACATTCAGTGTTTCTAATTCTGTCCAACGAGGACGCTCAATGTAAAACAGATAATATTACTGAGTTTATGAAAAGGCAACCAGAATATTGGATGCAAACATATCAAATAGGGGTCTTAACTCACTGAAGCAAGTTCATAGGATTCATTAACCCCGTTAGTCGCCACTAGATTGTCGAGGTAACTCCAATTAAACGCCCGCACCAAACGATTCACGAAGTTTACCTCCAGTGGGTAGTAGGTTAAACTATCTGGCACCTGCAAGGCATAGCGATAAACCCTTGCGAAGTTCTCGATCCGTTGTGAGCACCTAAAAACCGAAAAGAGCGTGTGCATGGAGGTCTCAAAATACCAAATTTCGTGTCAAGGATAGCAATTTCAAAGCGGCAATTATGCAGTGTGGGAAATTCGGTGGACCTAGAAAACCACTCGAAAGCTCTGAGGTGGACAACGCGGAGTAGTCGTGAGTTGGGATTCTTTAAGGCTGTTGGTCAGATCAGCAAAGTAGCAAAATATGCACCACATCGACTGCGAATCCTCTAAAATGATGACAAGGAGTGAAATGACAAACGCCGAATGCGACTGTTGGCAGGTGGATCCCTGTTTAGACGCTGACGCAGAGGAGGGGGACGGGAGTGTGGAGGCCTGGCAGTGGCCAAGTTGGCACCAAGCAGTTTGAAATGTGAAAGGTTTTACCGTAAAACAATTGGGCTAAATAATAAAAATAATGGTCATCTGCAGTGTCGAATGATGACCTTTTGGAGAATAAACACGTATCGCATTAGCATGTAACATAAGCCAAAATAAATAGTACAAATTGAGATGAAAATGCGCTATTGATGCAAAAACGCAGCATCACAAATGGCTATGCACATACGAAATAAGCATAATTTCAACTGTGACGTGACCGCAAATATGTGTGAACGAAGGCTTACGTTAAAACTCTGCCTGCCAAATAATGGTGCATGAAAAGCCCTTTAAGCATCAGAACGTAAAATTACTTTGTATGATATTTTGTGACGGTGATGGTCTCATCTGGCTGGAGCGTTACCGAATGGAACGAGGAACCCATACTCAGACGATAATTCTTTAGAGCCTAAAAGGGCAAGAGTTAAGATATGCAATTTTAAAAAAAGGGGGATTTGTATAGGAAAGTTGAGTGAGGGCAGATACCCGGCCAAATACGAATGCACACAATTTCCCAGTTTAACTTACCATGACCAAGTAAATTGAATTTCTAATGGAAAAAAAAAACTGCGTCATAATAACCTGCTATGGACATTGGAGGATCGAAACTGGTGGATCCACAGTACACGATACTTCAAGTGAGTGCAATAAAAACCCCAGCATACCAAACAGCACAAAAAGTTGCGAGTTTGTACTTTTTCTCACAAAACTTCACCGGGAAAAAGGCCTTCTAACACGTAAGGTCGTGTTTGTATCAAGAAAAAACCAGTCATTTACCACATTAGGTGAGACCCTTTCCGACATTCATTGAAGTCAAGGCGCCCGTAAATCCGTCAAGGCTAAGCATTGCGATCTCTGGAATTATACTCATGGACTCGCACGGTCTTGGTGAGGCGTTCCTTCAAAGTTAACCACCACCGCCACTTCCCCCTCCTCCTTTCACACCCCCTTCCCAAAAAAAATTAATCTAACTCGACCTTTTGGTTAGCATCGAGACAAGTGTAAGCATTCCATTAAGACGCTAAATCACCCTGTTTAGAGAGATTATGATGTGATTCTCGATAAAACTCCAAATCTTTAGAAAAGTTAATGAGCGCTGGTGCAAACTATGAAAAGACCAGATGGCGCCTCCCCTCCCCTCCCCCACACACGTCAACACCCGCGTCGCTTTTGCAGACACGTTTGAACCTGCGTCCGGTCGTGACGCGACCTGAGTTGTCCCACTTAAAAAATACCCTTGTACCTCTGGATTCGGGCTTCAAAAACTGTAATGACACTAGTGATGGGGAGAAGACAACCGGTAATCAACGTTAGCTATTAGGGGTATATATTCAATAAACAACTGCAAAGTACTGGTTTGCACATCAGAAATCATCCTTTAATAAAGCCAATATTTTAATGGACAAATTTCGACTGTGATGTGGGTCACCTTAGTCCTGCAACGACTAAAAAGCCACCTGAAAAATTCCAGATTCCAGTATGAACCGCCACATCCGTTTGAGCTACACATTGATGCCCCATGCAGACTGTGACGGACTTTGACTCGATGACCAGTTTTGTGTACGGAAGCTGTTTGCAGGTACTTGCATAATCAGCCTAATCAGCAATCCGCATGAGAGTTATTTTGGCATCGAACGACCACCCTATCAGCATCCAAGACATCCGTCCACGACAACTGAAGTTTCGGACGGTATCTGAGTTTTCGTGAAGCGAATTATTCTGATAGACAACTGAGAACGTAGCATGGCTTTGAAGACTTCCTGTCGGTCCCCATCACTGGTAGGGGGTGTTCCTGTTAAACTGAACTCCCAAAAATTTCCTCGCGTATCCACCGTTCTGCATCACTGCTTGGTCAGCAGGTACCATATTACATTCAAGAAAAGTTAATCTACGTTAGCATGGTTTGTGCGAACGCTAGAGCCAGACCAGTGTCACCGGGAGATAAATAACCATAATGACAGTACATTTTTGTAAAAGTACATGTTGGAATACAAAGTGGTGGAAAACACTTATGTGAGGAAACATAGATGGCCTATATTCTCCAGATTTCAGGTTAGCTTTGAAAACTGTTACCATTGACCTCATGTCAAGACCATGATAGGTTGCGAGTTCGACTGAGCCTGGGACCACCCTAGCGGCCACTAAGGCCTTCTGCCTATCTAACCGGACAACTACAATTGAGAATGATTGTCGTGCTAAATGGCATCACATTATCGAAGTCCAGAATATGACTGAATAATCCTCAAAGTAAAATCCCCTCACCATTAGCGAGTACTTTGTATACAATAAAGACTACCGGTGGGCAACATTTCGACTTCCAAATTTCACGAAGTGAGTAGAAAATACGGATTCACACGTTCACATGTAAAACGACAGCAGCAAAAAAGATTTAAAACCTCGTTTCCATGGTCCCGTCTACATCAGTGGAAAGCGAGTAGGGCTACTAACGTTGTGGGCAAGACCTTCCATCCCAAACATTACAGTTATGTAGGGAAAGGGGCAATGTGGTAGATCTATAGTGAAACCTTTAAATAATTTTCCTTTAACACATGAAGACGAGAACAAAACCGTGGTCTCATCTATACAAATGGATTGTGTGTCGATAAAGAGCTGTTATTACAAATGCGAGCGTCTCGACTTACGTCGTTGGTATTCAGTGGACATAAAGAACTTACATAGTGGAGTGAATGCGTTTCTCGCGACTATGCTACTGTTGGGAGCCCTCTCCACCGCAAGTTGCTGATTTTAAGAACCAAAATACACAAACCAACACGTAATTACAAAATCGTCTAAGGTTACAATTATCTGAAATTTCCAGTGTGGCAGAGCTTCCTGGCGTGATTAAAGTTAGTCCAAAAGTCCAGTTTAAGCGACCACATATCAAACAAAATTCTGTATTTTCAAACACATCCTTAACACAACGCCCTCCCTGATGGAATTAATTAGGGTACAGAAATGAACTGCTATTGTACTAACATAGTTGTAAAAAACAGCGTGAATAGCACAAACAACTCTCGACAACACCCCCAACACAACTGAC